GGGGAATTCCTAAAAAAGTAGAAGCGTCATATGCTGGTTTTGCACTTGAACAGTTTCAAGAGGAATTTTTCCAGACGTGTTCGACAATTCGGAAAAACCTTCAAGACCCAGAGGTTCAAAAACAGATTAAAACAATGGGTTCTTTTTTAGCTATGAATGGGGTAGATCTTCTCTCTTATGCAATGGGTCCTTATGGCGATATTCTTCAATGGGGCAAGGTTCCTTTTGCGTTTTATGGCCTTTATCACTCATATTCTGCGGCTTTGGACGGAGAGAAACACTTTAATGTTGAAGACACGGAAAAAGAAGTTCTGCAGAATAGACTCTCGCTTCAAAACTGTTTGGGAATATGCGGCAACATTATGAAAGATTTGTCATCATCATCCCCGATATTTAGGACAGTGAACTGGGGGATGAACTTAATTTTTTCTATAAAAAATCCTTGGGATTTATATGGGCTTTTGAAGCATAGGGTCAATGGAATAGATGTTTAAGAAGCATTGATCATCAGATATAAGAGCTGAGATAAATGCATTTGTAAGTCAATAATGTGACGAGAAGGTGTTTTAGAGGAATCCCTAGACTTCTGATGCTTAGAAATGTATTTTGCCGTTAGGTTATGACTCTCTTTTAGCCTTTTTGGAAGGTATGAAGAGGGGCTTTGGATCAAAAATGGATGTCATCTTATACTTCACGCTCTTCCGTGGTGCCCGTTTCTTTAACGGTTTTTACGATTTTTAGCATTTTGATCTTTTTGTGGCTGGGATTTTGGCAGTTGGAACGTTTGGAAGAGAAAAACTCCTTAATTCAACGCTTAACACAGCGGCTTAATACTCCAGCAGTAGGCATAAAAACAGTTTTGAATGATTCAAGGGACTTAGAAGAATTTTGGAGTTGGCGCCCTGTTAAGTTAACAGGGACATGGGATTTAGATCGCAACATTATTCTAGAGGCGCGTACACACCAGGGAAAGCCAGGTGTTCATGTTGTGACACCCTTTCATTTAGACTTTGGACCAACGGTTCTTGTAAATCGTGGTTGGTTTCCAGAAGAATCAAGGAATGCTGATTTCTTGAAAAACCTTCCAAAAGGCCTTGTAAAGCTTTCTGGAATCTTACGTGTTCGGGAAAAAAGAGGTGCTTTTTCTCCAGAAAATCATCCAGAAAAAGAAGAGTGGCATACTCTAGATGTTCCGGAAATTTCTAGGCATTTAAGGCTAGCTCTTGCCGTTCCTTTTTTTGTAGTTGCGTCAGAAAAAATAGGAGAAGGAGAGCCTTCTTTGGCGGTTCCAAATTTACCCAACAACCATTTAAGCTATGCGATTAGTTGGTATGCTTTGGCTTTGGCAATCCTTGTTGTTTATCTTGTCTATTTAAAGCAGCTTATTCGTCAGCGTATGTTAGAGTTTCGTCAGATGAAAAATAAAAAAATACCCCTAAAATAAAGGCGCTTTGCTTTTATAGATTTGACGTACAATCACCAGACTCCCTCTAGGAGGCTTCTCTTTGTTGTTGAAGGACCACATTTTTTCATTCCCTCCTCTTCAGATGTGACAGAGCTGTTTAAATGTCTTTGGTGGATTTAAATTTAATCAAGAATTTTTTTCCAAATAAGATGATAGGCGTTTCCAAACTACCTCTTAAAATTTATGGGGTGGCTTGACAATATGTCTTTGATTTATTATGAATATTTCCAAAGTGTCTTGTTTTAAAATAATTTTTTACAGAAAGAGGGAAAAATGAGAAGAATTTTTTGGCCTGTTATAGGGATTTTTGTGTGCTTAAACCACAGTGCACAAGCGGGAAAATATTTTGATTATATCCAAGATGAAGACAAGGTATTTTTTAAGAAATCAGGCAAAAAATTTAAAAATGGTCTTTTCTACTTACAGCGTTTCGATAAACAAAAAAGACTAACAACAATTACCTATCATGAACATCTTTCTGAGGAAAGGATTGAAAGGCTTCAAGAAGCGTTTCCATATGCTGATGTTCGATTAGATGATCAATTTATAAAATTAAGACCTGTTTTTCCAGACGAATTAGGGCTTATTTTTCTAGAAGAAGTAGACTTTAATGATCGATCTGATGTTTTTCTGCCAACAGGCTATAAAACTAAAGAACATCCTGAAGATGTTTTAACGGGGGATTGGCTTTTAAAAAAATATTATGACCAACGCCTTGAGATCACAACGGCTCTTTTGTTTGGCAGAGATAGCACTCCTATTCATAGAATCCTCTCCGAAGGGCGCTCTAACAACACAGTTAAGGCCACTCTTGGGAGTGCCATCAATACCTTGAGGGCTTCTGAAAATGGAATGAAAAGATTTGCTAACGTAGTTTCAAAAAGAAATCCAGAGATCGCAGACATTATAAGAGAGATTGAAGAGACTTTAGAGGAAGAAGCAGGGAGATCTTAAGTTAAAGCGATAGGCTAAAAAGGCCCGGTGTTCCATCTTTAAAATACCGGGCTTTGAGTTACTAGGTCTCAGGTCGTTTTTGGTCGAACACTAGTTTTTGATTAGGTGGGCGGGCCGGTTTGTATAGTCCAGCATTAGCAGAGAAGCGATTAGAGACTTTCCAATGAGCAAGAGTATGTGCGTCTTTGGTCGCTTTAAATTTGATAAAATGCTTTTCTTTTCTTTGAATTGATTGGCGTACGTTTTTAGCTCTCACAGTTTAGCCTCTGTAAGGTAGTCTTTTCGTTTTTAAGTTGTTCTAAACACCCACAAGAAAATGCTACAGTATATTCTCTAGGCGTGTCCTGCTTCATAGGGAAGCATTGCAGGATCTATTCCCATTTTTTTTAAGGCTTTTTTCCAAATGTCTTTTGGTGAGCGTGCGAAAATTAATGTAGGATCTGCTTCCATTTGTAGCCACGAGTTTTCTTTGATTTCTTCTTCTAACTGTCCCGAAGACCAACCTGCATATCCAAGCGCTAAAAAACGTTTTTAGGGGCCTTATGATGTGCAAAAGTTTGTAAGATTTCTGTATTTGCGGTTTTGCGGTTAAAGCGATATCTGGTCCAATTTTAACAGAATCTTTGAGCATGAAGTCTGTAGAATGCAAGGCAAAGCCGCGCCCCATTTCAACAGGGCCCCCAAAGTGGACGGGCAAATCAAAGCCTTGTTCTGGTTCAGGCATTTTTAATTGTTCCAAAATGTGAGACAATCTTACTTCGTCTAATGTTTTATTAATGAGAAGCCCCATGGCACCATTTTCATCATGCCCACAAAATTACACTATGGTGGAATCTTGGGTTTTTCATAGAGGGCATAGCAATCAGAAGCTGGCCAGTTAAATAGGAATCATTTGATGTTTTCTGCATTTGGATTTTTTCGTCTCACTCCCCTAAGATTTCTTAGTAGAACAGCCAGAGAGAAAATGTACAAGTCTCTCTGCTTTATTTTCTTATTTTTTTTTAGGGGGGCCTTCTTCATGTTGGGGAAGTTCTCCTGATGTTAAAGCGACTTTAACCACTCAACTGGAAGATAAACCACGTTCTAAAATTTTAAAATTAATAATAGAGAGTCCAGGGGGGTGGCACTTGATTGCCCCCACATTGGATGAGGCACAGGAAGAATATAGTGGTGAAGTTCAATTTCTCTGGGAGGAAGCCCAAAACTTAGACCATTTAGAAATTCATTGGCCGACACCTGTTGTAGAAGAAGTCTCAGGCCTAAAAACAGCATACTATGAAGGAGAAATGGTTGAGCAAGAGAACAAACAGAATTTTACGTTTCTTTTGACAGCGCATCTTCGGAAAGAAAAGATCCCTCTTATTCTTAAGGGGCGGCTATCAGGAGTTTTATGTCGCCATGGTCAATGCTATCCTTTTGAGGTGCCAGTAATCTTGTCCCCTGAAAAGCTTCCCGCCATTTCAAGAATAGAAGTAAACACCACATCTTACACGGGTGAAGCTCTCTATTATTCGTTCTGGGTTATGCTGGAGATCACATTTTTAGGAGGTGTTATTTTAAATGTTATGCCTTGTGTATTGCCCGTCCTAGCGATGAAAATTTTTAGCTTATCTAAAAGCTTAGAGGCTCCTAATCATTTTCGCACGGTATGTCTTCGAACAATATTTGGTATTCTTCTCTCATTTTGGGTATTGGCTAGCATTGCATACTTTTTGAAAGAAGCGGGTGAAACAGTTGGGTGGGGAGCGCATTTTCAGGAGCCTTTTTTTGTCGCTTTCCTTGCGCTGATTATGCTTTTGTTTGCCTTAAATCTTTGGGGCGTTTTCCACTTGAGAACGCCCCGATTTTTAAATACTTTTCTTAATAGGAGAGAAGCACAATCTGATGTTGCGTCTGGTTTTTTCGCGACTCTTTTGGCTACACCTTGTAGCGCTCCTTTTCTAGGAACTGCTGTTGGTATCGCTTTAACTCAAGGGGGCATGCAGATCTTTTTTCTATTTACAGCACTGGGTGTTGGGTTCGCGTTTCCTTATCTGATGGGGGCGATGATCCCATCTTATTTAGTTTGGCTTCCTAAGCCTGGTCCTTGGATGGAAAGAGTTAAAAAGGTTTTGGGGGTTGGGTTATTTGGAACCGCCTTATGGCTTGGGTTTGTTTTTGTGGAAGAAGTGCGTGAAGAAGCAATCCAAGAAGAATTTCTAGAGGGGGATTGGTTGCCTTTTTCACAAGAAAGGTTAGCAAAATTTGTCGCACAAGGACGGGTTGTTTTTGTGGATGTAACGGCACGCTGGTGTATGACTTGCCATGTCAATCACACTTTTGTTTTAGAGACACAGGAGGTAAACCAGCTCCTTAAACGTTATAACGTTGTGCGTTTACGAGCAGATTGGACGCGCCGTAATACGGGTATCACAGCTTTTCTAAATCGTTTTGGTCGGGCAGGAATTTCCTTTAATGTTGTTTTTGGGCCTATGGTCACAGAAGGGATTGTGTTGCCTGAGCTCTTAAGTGTTAAGGCCATTGAAAGGGCTATTAAAAACTCTCTCTAATAACCTATAAGATTATTACCTTAGAACTATGGTGGGCCCGGCAGGACTCGAACCTGCGACAACACCGTTATGAGCGGTGCGTTCTGACCAACTGAACTACGGGCCCTTTAAAAGAGGTTTATACAACTTCTTCTTACGTATAAGAGCGTTTATTTATGGCGTGGTTTTAGGGTAAAATTCAACCCTAAAAAGATATCTTAAGGATTAAAATTTAAGTTTTTTATCCAATATCTAAAGAGCCTGTATCAAATCTTTCATTTTTCTATATAGGATTATGATGCCTTTGTGCGTGATTAGACAGGGAGAGTTTTGTCTTCAGCGCTACGAATATGGCGACAAAGTACGACAGGGGAAAATCCCCTGTCGCGGTAAGATTTTTTATTCCCCTAAGAAGCTTCTTAGTTTTCGAGAGCGACTAGGGTGTTGAAGTTTGCGTAATGCTTTCGCTTCGATTTGTCGAATGCGTTCC